CTGTGATAGGCTATGCTTGACATCAGAATTATCAGTTTTATACTGTGGGTGTTGTTGTTGGGGACAGTCGCCCTCTGTAGAGTTAACTGGGGCCAGACTTGGCCACACTATCCTCCACTCCTTGCTCTTATGGATATTGCTCTTTTACAGTGGTGTAGTTAAGATTCAGCAAGCAAGGTTGTGTCATCTGTATAATGTAGGTTGTTGATGAGTCTTCCTTCAATCCTGACGCCACATTTCTTCTCATAAAGTCCAGCCTCCTGAATGATCAGTTCTGCATAGAGATTGAAGAAGTATAGAGACAAGTCACATCCCTGATTTCCTGATTTTGAACTATGCAGTGTTTCCTTGCTCTGTTCTGATGACTGCCTCCTGGTCCGAGAATATCATATCCTCGTTTTGCATGAGAACAATCAAGTATTCTACTATTCTCACTTTCCTCAAGATTAGCCACAATATGTTGTGATCCATACAGTCAAATACCTTTGCACAGTCAATGAAACACAGAGAGATATTCCTCTGGTACTCTTTGCTTTCCGTCAAGATCTATCTGATATTGGTGATGATGGCTCTAGGACCACGATCTCTTCTAAACCCAGCTTTTTATTTCTGGTAGTCTTTTATTGATGTGCTTTTCCAGTCATTTTTGGATAATATTCAGCAGGATTTTGTTTGTGTGTGATTATCAGTGATATTGTTAGATAATTTCCAAACTCTGTCAGGTCACCTTTTTTTGGGGGGGGGAATGGGAATAAATATGGATGTCTTCCAGTCAGTGCTGCAGAAGAAGGTCAAGGACTGTAGTCTTCAATATGGATTGAAGCTCAACATCAAGAAAACAAAGATTGTCACCACTGGGCCAATATGCAGCACCATGGTAGATGGAGAAAAGACTGAGGTCATTAATAGTTACAGCTTGCTTGGCTCCACAATCAATCTTCTTGGCACGAGCTGTCAGGAAAACAAAAGAAGAATTGCACTGGGAAAATCTGCAGTCAGGGACATCTCCAGAGTACTGAGAAATAACAAGATCAGTCTAGAGCCTAACATGTGCCTGATCCAGGCCCTGGTCTTCACAATTATTTGCTATACATAAGAGAGCTGGACAATGACTAAGGATGACAGAAGAATTGATGCCTTTGAGTGGTGGTGCTGGACAAAGAGTTTTGAACATACAATAAATCACCAAGGAAACAAATAGGTCTGTCTTGTAAATGGTGAATCCAAGTTGATCCTTGGAGGCTAGGATTTTGGAGCTCCATCTCACATACTTCAAGTATGTGGCCAGGAGGAAAAGGTCCTTGGAGAAGCACATGATGTTCAGAAGGGTGGAGGAACAGTGCAGGAGAGGAAGACCCCAGATGATACAGTAACTGGGGCAATCGGGGTAGGCATGTCTGAGTCAGTGAGATTGGCTCAGAACAGGATAGATTTCAGATCTGTTGTATGTAGGGGTCACTATGAGTCACAGGCAACTCAACGGTACATAACAACAAAGCTGAGATTCAAACAGAGGTCTCCTGGTTCCTAGAGTCTGAATTCTTAACACTTAAACTATCTGCCTACTGTCAGTGGTTGGTTTTAATCGGTAAACTTGAAACCTTCAATGAAGTAAAATAGAGTTCTTTTGGTTTCTTTAACGCCTACTTTTGACAATCACGTTTGTACTCAATGCTACACTCAAGAGGAAGTTTTTCTTTCTGGTGATATGATCCTTCAAAAACTCACCATCTGTGACTTTGAAACGACCCCAAATTTTATCTGTAAATCCTTTGTTCTGGATCTGAGAATACAGTTTTCTTGAGAAACTCCCCTACAAAGTAGGGATGAAGTTCTCAAACTGGTTCATAAAAGCCAATTTAATTGTTAATTAAAGGACTGTATATTTGCAGTGACAAAAACTAGTAATTAAGCCAAATGGAACAGAGCACCACTCACTAAATGAAATTTATAAAACTGAGTTTAGTGTTCAAGGAAACACAGACTAACATAGAAAAGATTTTATAAACTCTGAAGGAAAGTTATGAGTGCTTTTATAAAGCCTTTTTTTTAAAAAAAAGTTTTATTTTATTTTACTGTTTTTTGTGTGTATAGGATCAAATTGGATCTGACTGGTACAGGAGGAGATTGCCCCTCCTTCTCCAGTAGAACATCTGGTGGATTTGAACCGCATACCTCTGGGATTGCAGTGCCGCTTCTTGGCACTAGGCCCCCAGAGCTCCCTTATAAAGCCTTCTAGATATAAGTAAGATGGGTCCTTTAATTTCAATTCTCCTTCAAAATCTGGTCTGTTTCTTTTGTTCCTTGGATATACTCTGATATTTAAACAACCTCTTCTTTGGCTTAACCAATAGAGTGTATGCACATTCTTTGAGGAAGAAACACAGATGTGGAGAAAAGGTAAGGTAGGAGTGTATGTGTATACACTGTATGTATATAAACTGTCATACTTACCACATTATCTTTGTGTCCAGCACTGTGCTATGCAATAAAGATAAAAAGAAAAACTCATATATAAAGGTCATGTCTTCACAGGACTCACACCTTAGTGGTGAAAATGGTTAACAATAAAAATAATAGATTGTGATAACTGCTCTCTTTTGATGGCATGGAGTCAGCTCCTTAAGGCACAGCTCAATCAAAACATTATAATCCGTATACCTTTGGAGTTCTGATTTAGAAAAATAAGAGTGCCAGGCCTTTCTTTCTAGTCTCTCTTAGTCTGGAAGCACTACTGAGTGCTGTTAACCACTGTAACAACAAAAAAAGTTTACCAAGAGAGGAGAGGTGGCTATGCTTTAGGTTATTGCTTGTTGTTGTTATGTTCCATTGAGTAGCCTGCGACTCACAGTGACCCTACATACAACAGCCCTAAACCTGGCTCTATTCTGTGCCAATCTTTTTGTTTCTGGCACACCTTCCCCCATTAGCTCAGTCACTCAATCAATCCATCTCATCAAGGGCCTTCCCCTCCTG